CAATGCTTGCGCCGAAATCACCAATAGGTGTATCATGTTCACCACATCGATCGTTCATAACCGCATTAATCCACGATTAATTTGGTTTTTCTCTTTTATTCTTATAAAGAATAAACATGTGTTACACATTAACACATCTCGTAGAAGCTAACAGATTAGCCTTTACAAATCCATTCGGTTTTTGACCGAAGGCTACAAACCCGAACAGTGCTTCCGAAATTGAAGCACGAATTAGTGCTTAGTAATGAAGCATGAAACATGCTTTACCAAGCACGAATCATTGCTTTTAAACTAACGCATTGATTCCAAAGCAATTTCTATTGCTTTAAATTATAAACTCACAGCAACATTCGGTTGCTTAATTTATAATTTCAGTGCTCCCTAGCACTAAGATTATTAGTTAATTACACAATTAACCAAACCTCCTTTCGTGCTAATCACATAGCACTTTTATAACGCTAAATTTAATTAGCCACATATGAAAGGCTTAAGCTAAGTAAATTAGCATTAAGACCAATCATAGTCTATTTACCAAAAAAACAAAAGCTTAGGTTTTCTACACCTAATGGTGCTGCCCATCAAGTCGCCGTTAGTGCCTAATTAAGCACTTTACCTAGTGCTTAGTAGCACTATTACAGTGCTTTAATTTGCACTTCAAAGTGCAAAATAAAATTGCACTTTTCCTTAGTGCTACAAAAGCACTTATTCCCTAAAGCACAATTTGTCTAAAATTAAATTTCATACTAGTATGAATTGGAGTTTTGATCAAGTTAATTATAACACAATTAACAAGAACAAATCAACCAAATTTCTGACTAGTTGAATCAAACTCATATAATCGTTCTTAGAATATTACATAAAATATTCAACACTTGAGCTGTGACGCTCACGATTATATAGTTATCCCAATTTTTGACAAATTGATCCTACTTTGAAATCTGTATCGTTCAACATGAACTAGAACCGAAGTCCTTTTACGGGATTTCAAACATGTAACACGCTTGTTACATTTCGTTCCGGCCGTTAAGCCATTTTAGCATTTTCCACATAATGCCCCGTGATGCACTACGCACCCATATTGAATTATTTCGTATATTTGACATTATTCTAGCAAATAATTCGTATGTATCAAAATTCAACTCAATGGAACAATTATATTTTTATTCAAATAAAAATATTACAAGGATACTACAATATTTATTCAAAATAAATAAATAGGAAATACATTGAAAACAAATTCCTTATTCCTATCCCGTTGTAGTCCTTCAAACCCGTGTGCCTTGTTCCATTCTCAACCGTCCACTCCACAAAGGGTGGTCCATAGCGCACATCGGGGGGTACCTCGGTTGTGACCTCACTCGTCCAACCATCCACATGTTTTAAACATAGCGAAGTTGTCCTCAACCTTTTCACCAGGATGACGATTCGCTTCATAGTGGCATTTCTCCTTCTTCTCGTAATCTTCTTGAAAGCTAAGCTTCCGCTTGAGTTTCCTTTGATTACGGTTGAAGTCATTGGTAACACTACCATAGTCCTCAGACCATGTAGTCATTACACCATCATAGGATCCTTCGTGGCTTTTAGCCGATCCGTTAGACAACACAATAGGTACCAATTGTGTGTCACCAGCCACAGGTCTACCGGTTCGTGAACCAAAGTTCTCCGGAGCACCATCGTGTGTCTTTGCAACTCCCATGGAAATATCATTTCCAACGTTGCTGCCATCAATTGGCATCACGGAATGTGCAACATCGTTGCCATTCCGACCATTAGAATGTGCACCAAGAGCAACATTCACGAATCCAACACTTTTGGAATCCATCGACTTGTTCATTATCAAAATAATAAGGTTTTAAGATTGTTGGTGATAATGAACCACAATCAATTTAATATCCATAAAATAGTATTTATATATATACACACGAAATATATATAAAATATTATTGGACATATATCCGAAATATATATATACACACGAATATATATAAACGGACCCAACGGTTATATATACATGTATATCTACGAAAAAAGATATACCAATATATATCAACCAAAAAGAAAATATAATCCTTAGATTATAATTCCAAATCAACAAGAAAGAACGGATTTTTGCTTAGAGCATAATCCAAAACAAGAAAGAAGAAGAAAAGAAAGTACGAGTTAGGCAAAGTGTCTGTCTTTCCTTAAAACCTTATTTGCCACCTCCCAAAAGTGCTAGGAGCGTTGTGGCCTAGGTTTCCCAGGATAAAACGTACAACGGTTCGACGTTTGAGCACCCAAACGAACGAACCTGGCGAACAAGAACACGGGCAAAACACAGCTTCAAGAATGGAGTAGGAGCAGAGTTTTTGAGAAGAAAAAGTGCTAATCTTTGTGTGTTGTGTACTCTCATGTTCTTCCATCACTTGTTGTCTCTCACTATGCAGTATATCAACCTCTACTCCCAAAACACTCTTATATAGGAGGTTAGTACTTAATAGCATCATCATGACACATTAACCAACATAAATTCAATTTAAAAATTGAATTATAACGTTTGAAACGATCGTACTTATTATCGAAATAATATCAACGGTCACGAACTTAATATCCGATTAATTCGTACCGATTGTAGCGACCCGTTTCAAATATCTGAGTGACCGAGAAGTCCGTACAAACCCGAAAGGTTAACGAATTGGGACCGAAAATCACACCCGAATGGTCCGCAAAGTACCGAAACGGTGCGGCACGAATCAATGCATATTGCATTGACTCGTGCTTAGCACGAAAGTAGCTCAGACATAACGAAAGGAGCACGAAACTTCAATTCCATGCAGCATTCGTCCATGCATATTTCCCAATCCAAAGCTTAATTAAGCTTTCAAAATAAAGGAACATTCGTGCATGCATATTTCCCAAACCAAAGCTTAATTAAGCTTTCAAAATAAAGGAACATTCGTGCATGCATATTTGCAACATTCCAAATTCCAAAGCTTTATAATTAAGCTTTCAAAACTTAATCCACTTAAGCACCAACTTTCGTGCAGTGCAATAAATGTTATTAGAATGCTAATTTTAATTAGCATCTAAACTTAAGTTTTTGACTTCTCTCAAGTAGGTTCACTTTGAGAATTAATTTCTCATTCACCTGTTATCCATTTTGAGCGTACATTATATCAAATTCTTCGTCTCACTACGAAGAACCCGAATTCGCGTTGACCCGACCCAAATCGGAAGTGGATCCCACATATATTTGTACCACAAAATAATCACTCAAAATATCATTTTAATGCTATTTTTCCAACATGAAATTGGTGGGGTGTTACAATATATATATATATATATATATATATATATATATATATATATATATATATATATATATATATATATGGATGAGATCAAGTGCGGTGATCAATGCTCTATAAAAAATATTCTAAGCTGATGGACCTTAAGCTTCGAATCTACGCACCTTAAGCTAGATTAACATAAATTTGACTTTTGTAGAGAAAATCTTTTAAAGAATACATATTGTGTTTTGGGACTAATATAAAAAAAAAACAAAAAAAAAAAAAGGTGCGTCCTCAATAAAAAAGCAAAATGTAAAAAATGTAACACCTTAAGAAGGAAAACAACGCACCTTAAAAAGAAAAACAACGCACCTTAAGAAGGATAACAACTCACCATAAGAATGAAAACAACGCATCTTAAGAAGGAAAACAACGCACCTTTAAGTAGAAAAACCACGCACCTAATTAAAGCTTTAGACCAACAGACTTAAGTTTCAACAACTGACGCACCTTAAGCATTCAAAACAAAAATTACGCACCTTAAACACAAAACCACGCACCTTAAGAAAAAATATCATGCACCTTAAGATGGAAAACCACGCACATTAAATTTGACTAGATACAAAAAGACCAAATTGTGGCCACATTTTTTTTTTAAAATTCTTGTTAATCCTGAATGTGGTCTTCACAAGATCAATGACTCTTATCTCACCCTACAATCGTACATCAATTAGCCAACCGCACGGAAAACCAAATTTTGATACATCCAAGTATGAAAACTGAAAAACACAATTCTACACTATCATATCCTAAAATATAATGTTAGAAAAATGATCTATATTTTTTGTTAGTTTTTTAAAATTTTGTTTCTTGTTTCAAAAGATTAAATTCTAATAATATGTAGATGAGAGATCCATCCCCATTTCTAAGGCAGATGTTTTGCCGTGTGTTTTCCCCATTGAAATAAAGACTATATGAAGAAATTAGTGTTATGTTGCTGTATAAAACTTTAATTTCTACAAGGAACTAACAGTGTTAATAGCTAGACTACTGGTTGGTTATTGTGGGGTGATATTCTTGAATAATATTACCTGTAGCGGTTTCGCAATCAAATAATGCACATGCATACCAAATAAGTAGCTAAAGGTTATTTTCAAAAAAAAAAAAGTAGCTAAAGGTTCAAAAAATATAGGTTGGGTGGGAGCTCGTGTAGAGGCAAGTCCAGTACCCTACCTCTCCAATATGTGATGGTCTATAAAAAAATGAAGTTATGCATGTTGAACGGAGGTCGGTGAAGGGCCAAATTCAGCACCCTATCTCTGAAAAATGTGATGACGATCTATAAGAAAATAAAATTACGCTTTTACCACTACCTATAACTTTTGACGTAGTGGTAAACGTTTTATCCTAACCATATAGATATATATATACCACCACATTCATAGGAACAAATCTAGGTTTTCATTCATCACTCAATCACAAACAGATGCTTTGTAACATTTTCATTATGTCTGTATTAAGTGGTACAAGCTAATATAATAGGCCATTTATGACCATTATGTTGTGGTTTGAATGGAAAATAACGATTTTCGTTACTTAACCTATAATAATGATGACACTGCTCCTATGATTTTGATACTACACCATCTAGTTCAACAGGAGACCAAGTAGTAGACAAAACACCAAAATTCCTTACAATTCTTGGCAATGCTATAGAAATGACAACTATGGCTTAAGGTGCTCGGTCTTATTGGCTCCCGCTATGAAGTTAAAACATTACATGTATTATACTTGTATATTTAGTGTAACATGCTTACCATATCAGATACATCAAATTACACTAGCACATACACACATTTATTTCTATCAGCCTCAGATGACTCAAGGAAAGCTGACATAAAGCAAAATACACGAACCAGTTAGATTCACGAACAAACTCAACCCTCCTCTGCTGTTTAGAGCCTCATATCAGATAAAGAACATGCTGTTTTGGAGATCTGGATGCACATCATAGAACATCCGTTGGAACGAAGCAGCAGAAGATGAAGATGACGATGATTCAGATGATGATGACGATGATGAGACGGGAGATTCCATCTCCCTGACCACCTCTTGGAAGAGGCGCCCCCGGTAGGCAACAAGGTCTGCATAGAAAACCGGTGGAACGAGTGAAACAGACTTGGTGCACCGAGCAGAAGTGAAGCACAAATTATAAATGAGCCTCTGCAAGTCATCAGAACTGAAACGATTCTCGTCATGGACAACATAGTAGTGTGTTGGCTTGCTCGTCCCAATGCTCCCGTAATGGCTGTAGAGATAAAAGTCGAATTCTGATGGATGAACAACAACTGTGTCTACAACAGTTCCCGGAGGCACATTGCCAGAGCCACCCCCATCCCTCCTATTCTGGAGAAACATCCGAGTGGGGTGTCTCTTCTGAGCCACAACCAAAGTCACTGTTGGTTGGTAGTTTGCTTCACAAATACCCTTCTTCAACTCATCTAGTTCTTCATTAAGAACCATGCTCAATTGGCTCTCACCCACACCATCCCGAAAGACCACAATTCTTTTGGGTTTCACATAGTTCAATCGAGCATAAGTATTCACAAGCTCACCACACATGCTCCCGAAACTAAGAATCTTTTCTTTACGATGCTCTTGTGGGCAAACCCGAGCAGCATAGCGATTCGCAGCAGGCCAGTTAACCGTGGCAACAACTGCAGCCATGGATGGACCCGTCGAGTTTTGTGCACTCGGGTGATTGACATCAGCTCCAATGAACATAACATCGTCTTCGCCTTCGAAATGTGGGAGCCTTTCCAAGAGCTCCACATTGCTTCCTCCAAGCTTCGCATTTAGCTTCATACAAAGATGACCAAGATATTGATGCCTTGCTTCATTTGCATTTCTCGACAAGCAACATTGGGTAACTACTCCAATCTTTGTCTCAGAAACCCATTTCAAATACTTATACCCATAATGCTTTGAACCCATCACACAAACTATGACTTGCAGTTTACCCGGGGTTTTTTTATTTGCATCCTCAACCACATTTTTAAGGAGATCTTCAACCTTCTTGGCATTCGAGAGCTCCTGCATGTTAGTACGACGATGAATTAGAGGATCCTCGAGGTGGATTCTTAACTCCTTGCATCGTTGCTTCAAGTTGCTGACGAAGTATCTCTCCTTTAGCCTATGACGATATTCAAAGGTTGTAAAATCTATCAACGCCCATCGCAGAACTGGTCTGCCCTCAACTAAAGAATTCTCAGCGAGATCCCATTGGCCTTTATCATTGACAAGAACTCTATCTGAAGTGCCTAATTTCAAATCAGGAGCAGGAAGTATACGACCGGTAAGAGGTGTCATGTTCTTCTCGATTCCAATTCCAAAACTTTGAGTGACAGCTCTGTCATAAAACAAGTTAAATGTACAAGTGTTCATTTTATTCACCTTGTTTCTTACTACATGAAGGAAAAAGTATTTCTTACGAAGAAAAAGATCACCAGAAAATGTTAATTACACTTTGGGTATCCATATTTAAAAAAAAAAAAAAAAAAACTTAAATTTTAGTAAGTTTCTAATGCATTTTGCATGATATGATCCATGAGAAAACCAATGTCCAAGGGTTGGTGTTGGACCCAAGTACATTGGGGTAAATAAAAAGTACAAGTAGTATAAGCAGATAGAGTTTATACATTCCCAACCAAAAAGTTTATATCCTCACTCATTTGTTTATGATGAATGTAATACCATTTCCATCAGAGTTTCATCATAGGAGTGTCCTAGTGAAGTATTATTTCTGGCTCAACAAAATAAGCCAATAGAAAACAAGTTGAGCATTAAACTTCTGATGAAAAAAAAAAAAAAAAAAAAAAACAGAAAACAGTTTAAAAGCTGCTTGAAACATATACTAACTACACAAAATTTAATCTTTTAGTGGTTTGTATCATACAAAAATAGCAGCAGTAAAAATTCCACATTCATTCAGAGTGTTGGGCGGGAGGCCAGTAAAGGCAAGTCCAACACCATGTGGCTAACGGAATTGATGGGCAGAGGCCGGTAAGGGCCAAGTCCAGCAGCATGTGGCTAGGGGATTGTTGGGCAGAGGCCGATAAGGGCCAAGTCCAGCACCATGTGGCTAGGGGGATAGTTGGGCGGAGGCCGGTAAGGGACCAAGTCCAGCACCATGTGGCTAGGGGGATTGTTGGGCGGAGGTCGGTAAGGGCCAAGTCCAGCACCATGTGGCTAGGGGGATAGTTGGGCGGAGGCCGGTAAGGGACCAAGTCCAGCACCATGTGGCTAGGGGGATTGTTGGGCGAAGGATGTGCCTAGGGGGATTGTTGGGCGGAGGTCAGTAAGGGCCAAGTCCAGCACCATGTGGCTAGGGGATTGTTGGGCAGAGGCCGATAAGGGCCAAGTCCAGCACCATGTGGCTAGGGGGATAGTTGGGCGGAGGCCGGTAAGGGACCAAGTCCAGCACCATGTGGCTAGGGGGATTGTTGGGCGGAGGTCGGTAAGGGCCAAGTCCAGCACCATGTGGCTAGGGGGATAGTTGGGCGGAGGCCGGTAAGGGACCAAGTCCAGCACCATGTGGCTAGGGGGATTGTTGGGCGAAGGATGTGCCTAGGGGGATTGTTGGGCGTAGGCCGGTAAGGGCCAAGTCCAGCACCATGTGGCTAGGGGGATTGTTGGGGGAGGCCAGTAAGGGATCAAGTCCAGCACCATGTAGCTAGGGGGATTGTTGGGTGGAGGCCGGTAAAGGACCAAATCCAGCACTATGTGCAGAGGGGGATTGTTGGGCGAAGGCCGGTAAGGGCCAAGTCCAGCACCATGTGGCTATGGGGATTGTTGGGCAAGAGGCTGGTCAGCAAAAGGCCAAGTCCAGCACTTTGGCTCTCGAAAATGTGTGGTGGTAAAAGGAAATAAAGTTGGGCTTTCGCTACTAGCTATAGTTTTTGATGTAGTGGTGAGCGTTTGATCATAAAACAGAGAAATAAAAGCTTTAAAATACTACATACCCGCAAGGTCCATCCACTGCCTGCATTATTTCATGGATTGCACCCATCCTTTGCTCTGGTGGAGGCTGTGATATTCTTTTCAACAACCTGCCTGCTTCAAACTCTAAATTCTCCTTCAGAAACCTTTGTCCCTCAACCAATACACAGAATTCTATCGGTACAAAGTTTGACATGTTATTTTTCCCTAAATCCAAGCATGAGATATCCTTGTGCTTAATCTCTACGCCATATCTCTCCCTAAAATAATCAACCACAGAAACTATCCTAGGTGGGTTTTTTCCTTTTGGATCTTGAAGCTCAAAAGAAAGATCCCGAGTTTTATCATCAGTTAGCCTAGAGATGGTAAACTTTTGTTTGGTAACACGGTGGGTGACCTTCACTTTCAAGCCTCGTACTGCATCGATCACCCGTTGCTTGAAGGTGTCGAAACGGTCTATACTAAAGTTCGGGATGTGCTCGTTAAGAAACTCCAACACTGGCTGTGGCTTATGAAATGCCATAACCGAGTAGTCCACGCCCAAGGCAAGACCTTGTGAGGTAACCTTTAGACTCTGTCGGAAGCCTCTGTATGCTGCAGCCCCACACCCGAGATCATCACGAGCTCGATACTCGGTTGAGTAAAAGCTTCTACCTATAGACATCCTATGCCTAGAAGGGTTATCTTTCATAACCAAATCCAATCCCTGAAGCATATTCCGAGGTGCTTGCAAGAGGCTCCTCATCGAGCAATCTCTAACCAGCTTGATCGAGAACGTATAAATGCGAGTTTTGGAGTTCTCCCCATCAGACAACACAATCTTGAATTTCCCAGTAGGCAGTTGAATGGCACTGAAAATGTTCCTCTCACCATCATAAACAATCTTATCTACGGGAAATATATCAGGATAATCTTGAAACAGCTGGTCCCTAATCAAGAACAACACAGATTTTGGTATCGACTTCTTTTGGGGCTGAGCATCAGGGCCTAATTGCTTGATATCCACATCATAGTGCATTATCGTGGTACGAGGATTATATCTTACTCGGAAGTGATTAGCACGCAGCTTGATTGACTTGACAGCAATAGTTCCCCTATCTGGTCGGTTAACTGGTTTAAGGTGGTTCGCAGTTGTTTCTGAAGGGGAAGACTGGACCTGCTGCTCAGTAATTCTCGGTGTTTGCATATTGGCCTCAGCAGGGGCTGCGCAAAATAAGATTGAAACTACCTTTCAACTTTAATTTGTGCTAATTTTACAAACATAATGTATGCAGCACATCTATTATATTGCAGAATTACTACACAATTACAGAAGGCCCTTTTTAAGACTTATAAAGCAACACATACATACTGTAATTTTCTCAAGTTTGGTTATATCTTCAATTCCCACTACTGGAAATTATCGAATTTCCGACCACCTTGAAGTAATCTTAAATCAAGTCGAAACCGTCGGAAATAGCAATAAAGGTTTTTTCGGATACCAAAAGTGATCGGAACAAGGCTTTCGACTTAATTTAAGATCACTTTCAGGTGGTCGAAAATTCCATAATTTCCACTAGTGTCCACCCTACCAGCAAGTATGCTTTGACAAAATGGAAAGAGAAAGCAATTGATATCCAAAACTTTTTTCCCTTTTCCATTTCTAGTTTTGCAATTTTTCTAGCTTCATTTCTAAAAGACCATATCATGACATGGCCTTGTTTGGTAAAAAATGGCTTATTTAACCACTATTAATTGTTTGATGTAGTTAAAATATCAATATAAATATTTGGTTAATTAGCTTTTTGCAACTCAAAAAGGCTAAAATTCAAAAAGTTACTCCAAACAACTTTTTCAATTAACTTTTTGAGAAAATAAATTATACCAAACAGCTATTAGCTAACAGCTAATTTACCAACCAACTAATGTTATCAACTATTTATACCCTCTAATTAACATAATCAGCTAACGGCTAACAACTATTTACCAAACAGGATATGCAGAAGCAAGAGAAAGTATTAATTTTATGCACAAATAGTATTTTTCTAATTTATATGTAAGTAGTAAATAAGGGTGGGTATTGCAGATCGAGTACCCTTAGACTGAGGTTGGGCTGGTGAGTTATTGCAAGAACCACCCCAACCTGGTGCATTTCTTCGTCCGCCACCAAAGGCACCTTGGCCTGGGCGGTTGTGATGATTCCCTCGGCGGCCGCCACCACCTCTTCCGCCATCATCACCACGTCGGTATTGATCACTTCCACCGCTACCGCCGCGACGCATACTGTTCGTTGCCGTTATTCATATATAGCTCAGCTCAGCTCAGAGGTTCCACTAATAAGTAAAAACAAGAGTGTAAGAAGCTAGTATTTGAGTGTTAGGCGAATGAAGATCAGAGCCATAAATACAAAGCTTGAGATAGCAAATTCCAGAAAAGGGAATTGCTTAGCATGGGAATCTTAGCTTGAAGTTCCATCAAGAAGGACCGATATGATGATACTGAATGTCAAATTTGGCATTATTGGGGTGGAGAAAGCAAAGCGAAAGATGGATTTCCATGGCGGCCAAGCTTTGAGCAGTGATTGGGTGAGTGTTTCTGTTGGACGAGAAAGAAAGGGTGTTTTGAAAATTCCAGGAACTTCGATGAGACTGAGAAAGGGGCGGAGCAAACCGACGACAATCATCGCTTCTGTTTCGTTGACTGGACACCTCGCGCCAAACACTAGAATTACTAGTGTTTGCATCCCAGCCCTTGGTAGTGGGTTCAATATTGGAAAGCACACCACCCCGCATATTATATGATTTATGGAAAATGACATTTGTTTTAAGGAAAAAATTGCATCTTAAGTTTTTGAGTTGTAATCAAGTTCCAATTCAATCCCTAAGAACATCCACATTAGTTGGGAAGAATGTGGGAATAATGTAAGAGTGATTAGGAAAGAGAGTGTGGGATGGGAGAGAAAAAAAGGAAAAAAAAAAAAACTGAAATAAAATTAAATTTTACAAAAATAAAAAATAAAAAAGTTAATGCGTCAGGCGCACTGTCAGCGCGCCTGACGCGCCACACGGGCGCGTGCAGTGCACGCGCCCGTGTGGCCTTTAGCATTTGCTGCTTTTTATTTTTTATTCTTTTCCTTTTCTGACATTAATTGGGTATTTGCAGGAGGAATATCTCCTAAAATAACCCCTTCCCACATTTGCTATTAACCTCACCCAAACTAATAAATCTGACATTAACCCCTCTTTCACCATTGATGTGAATGCTCTAAGTTATTGCCTTATTCGAATTTAGTCCCTCAGTTATGAGCAAAGTGGCGAGTTTGGTCTCTATATTCTATCTACAGCTAACGGAAAACTTAAAAATAATTTAATAATAGAGGGCTAAAATAAGAATTTTAAATTATAATCCCCTTCTTATGTTGATACTCATTGCGCAACCGTCATTTTTTCTTCTTATACCTACCATCGAATGTCTTTTTCTTTCCCAAGCTCTGAAATCTCAAATTCGTCCACTTCCAAGTTGCGAAGTTCATAAGTTGTTTCTCTATTTTATATGTTTAAATAAATAATTAATATTCTCCGTATTTATGAGCAAGAAAAAAGTAACTTTGAGGAGATGTTTGCTAACTTCATGAAGAATATTGACTACTTTTTTCTTGATATAAAATAGAGAATATTGATTATTTATTTAAACATATAAAATAGAGAAACAACTTGCCTATGAATTTCGCAGTTTGGAAGTGGGTGAATTTGAGACTTCAGAGCTTGGGGAAGAAAAAGACCTTTGATTGTAGATATAAGAAGAAAATAATGGTTGTTGTGCAATGGGTTTCAACATAAGAATGAGATTATAATTTTAAATTTCTATTTTACCCCTCTATTATTAAATTGTTTGTAAGTCTTCCGTTAACTGCAGACAGAATATTAACGTGTTAGGAATAAAGTGTAATGGTTTTGATATGCCAAATTTGTATTTGTAGATCCCCCAATTTTATTTTATAGGTCTAGTAGAGTCTTAGACCATGATCGGGAAATTATTTAATTATGAAAAGAGAAAAACAGAGGAAGATGGATGAAAATAGAAGAAGAAGATATAAAGCCTAAAATCAAGAATTTGTCTGAAGAAAATGACAAATTAAAGAAGAAGATGAATGATATGAAATCACGTCAATGCTACTCAAAGAAGATATCCCAGAAGAATTTTCGTGAAGAAAATTAATGTTGGAAGAATGCATGAAATTGACTTGGAAATCAAGCATCTATGGAAAGAAAGGAGTACATCAAATATGATTGAAGATTTAATCAAAAGTTGTATGGACGAAGTGGATGATGCTTGATATATTATGCAAAGTGGCTTAAGTTTGAAACTCACCATCAACAATTTTACAAGGTAAAATTTGAGAAACCAAATTAAATTAATCTAATGGAGTTGGGCGCTAGTTTAAGCTTTGGGCGCCGAGGTGGCAATTGAGATAGGAGCCGATTTCATAGCAATTGAAATTGGGAGCCAAGGTTGTAGTGTAGAATTGAAATTGGGAGCCAAGGTTGTAGTATGGGATGCAATTTCAAGTTGGGGACCCGACTCAAAAAGACATGGAGATCAAATTGAAGAACCAGACATGGAGATCAAATTGAAGAACCAGGAGCATGGGATGCAATTTCAAGTTGGGGACCGATTCAAAGAAGACATGGAGATCAAATTGAAGAACCAGACATGGAGATCAAATTGAAGAACCAGGAGCACCGATTCAAAGAAGACATGGAGATCAAATTGAAGAACCAGACATGGAGATCAAATTGAAGAACCAGGAGCAGTTTGGGTGCCAAATTGGGTGCCAATTACAAGCCAATTGAAATTGGGTGTCAATTACACACCCAATTACAAAAGAGAAATTCAAATTGGGTGGAAGTTCAAAGGCAGTTTGAAGTCTGAGCCAATTGAGAAATTGGGTGTCAATTACAAAAGAGAAATTCAAATTGGGTGGAAGTTCAAAGGCAGTTTGAAGTCTGAGAACACCCAAACGTGAGAATGAAGAAGATGAAGATGAACTTACAGTGAAAATATTCTCACAAGGAAAAATACTAGTTTAACTAGTATGGGATTAAATTGATGAATATTTTTAAATCCCAAAGATACAAAGACCACTTCAGAGCTAATCAGAGAAGCCGTTCTACACCCAGATATTCCCACTCAACGTAAAACCAGAGGAAATATCATATGAAGTTTGAGAACCCATTTACATGGAGATGAAGCTCTAACAACGGCTAGCTTATCCTTTCTGACATCTTTGCAGAAGATAAGATAAGATCTCTGACAAAAAGATACAAGATTTCAAAAATGAGAGCGTCTCTTTCCAACGGACAGATTCTCATTACCAGCTATAAAATGATGAAGATATGAAGACTTGAAGAACTGTGAAGTGTGAAGAGAAATAGAGCAAGAGCAGAAAATTCGAAACTCATCAAGGAGATCGAATAGAGCAATTAAGCTTGAAAGAGCATAGAGCAAAAATCTCATTTGGTACAGAGCATACCAAAAATCTTCAAGTGAGAAGTGAGAAAAGAAAAAGAACTCAGAGAGCTTCAAAAGAGAAATATTCTGAGAGTTCTTAAACAGAGCAAAGCAGAGCAAAAATATCAAGTGCTTTACTTGATATATTCACAGAGAGAAAACACTCAGAGCTATCAAGAGAAATCATTCCAGAGTGTTTATCTTCATCAAAGAGACCTGCGCATCATTGAAGATCATCTACAGAGTCTCAGAAGTTGGAAGCAAGACAACACTTGTTTTGGAGCAAAACAAGAGAAGGGAGGAAAGTGGCACGGAGCTGTGAAATCCTGGATTGTCACAAGGAGCTGTGAGATCCGAAGCAGCAGTGTCGGAGGCACTGGGCGTGATTGGTGTGGGCTTGGTGATCAAAGCACCAGATCACGGGATACGTTTCTACCGGAGTGTGGAAGACGGAGGAAAGTAACGCGGAGTCGTGAAATCCTGGGATAGTAGCGCGGCGACGTGAAACCCAAAGCAGCAGTGTGGTGTCACTGGGCGTGATTAGTGCGGGCTTTGTGATCAAAGCACTAGATCACGGAAATTCATTGTATCTTGGAACCAAGGAGTGGTAGATATAGTGAATTGCTCTTGGAGATAAGAGCATGTGGAGTAGGGGGATTACACCACCTCGCGAACCACTATAATTGTCTTGTGTTCTTTACTGCTTTCTTTACTTACCGCTCTTTACATATTCGCTCTACACGAGATATACTGCTCACACAATCTCACACACACTTTATGTTTATTTATTTTCGCTGTGCACCATACTCTAACAATCTAGTTAAGAGTTTTGGTTTATCTCTGGCTTAGCAATTGTTGTGCTGTGCGAAAAAGTTTGAAAGTCTATTCACCCCCCCCCCCCCCCCCCCCCCTTCTAGACTTTCACCTTACCTCTTTTGGGACCAACAATTGGTATCAGAGCCTGTAGCCTATTTGAGTCAGTTTATACGTACCTTTGGTATTAAAACACGTTGCCCAACTGGGTTAACTGTTTTTGACTGCTAGGCTGATCCATTCTACAAAGTGTGTGAATTGGATTAATCTTTCATATCTCTCGTGATGATGATGAAGAAAGATTTAGCTCAAAATCTATTATTCTCACTTGATAAATTTGATGATTGGAAAGTTCGTATAAGAATGTTGTCAACAGATAAATTATTTAGTGATCTAAAAGCATATGAGTTCGAAATGAAGGCCAAAGATGATGATGTACATGAAGCTCGAAATTCTGCTCTAATGGCCGAACAACCGTCAACTTCCAGGTCAGTAGAAAATAATGTTGATTTTATGACTGACGAACAATTTGTTCTTTTTGTCAAAATGTTTAGAAGGTTTATGCGAAAAGGAGACAACAAAAATTCTGCTCGTGGAAAATTCGTCTCACGCATATCACAAGAAGAAAAAGTTGAAGAAAATAAGGATTTATGCTACAATTACCGCAAACCCGGACATTTTAAAATAAATTGTCCGTATCCGATCGTTAGCAAGTATCAAGGCAAAAATGTTGAATCTACGCCGAACAAATCCGAAAGCAAAAGGTTCAAGCGCGACAAAAGAAAAGCTCTCGTTAGCAACGAACCAAACGAAAATGATGATTCGGAGGATTCATCATCAAGCGATGAAAGTTGATGATGATACGGCGCTAATATGCAAGTCAATTGAGTTGAGTACAAGTGAAGATTGTCTTATGGCTCTTGAAGCAGAGGAAGAAGAGGATACTTGGTACATCGATAGTGGTTGCTCACTCCACATGACTAGAAATAAATCATATCTAGTGAATTTCAAAGAAATCGATGGACCAAAAGTTATATTCGGAGGAAATCAAAATTATGGAATTACAAAAGGAGTTGGCACGACCAAGAAAAATGGTTTGAAGATTGAAGATGTTTCTTTCGTTGAAGGATTGAAATTCAATTTGTTGAGCACTAGTCAATTTTGTGATAAAGGCTATCTTGTAGAATTTTCTAAAGATAATTGCCTAATCAAAAATGAGCTCACAAATGAGATTATTTTATTTGGAAAATGGCGAAAGAACATGTATATTGTTGATTGGAGCACAAGCAAAGATTCAGTGTGCTTAATGGCCAGAAATTCAAATGAAGCTAATTGGGAATGGCACAGAAAGCTCAACCACTTAAACTTCAAGACCA